GCCCGATCTTTCTGTCGCCACTGTGAGCTCTTCATTATCGAAGAAGCAGAACAAGGTTATATTCTACTATATATGAGTAGTGAATAGTACTTTTCTTTGCAGGCCTTTTAAGAAGCATCAGGTACTAGTTTCATCACCGATCTGCTTTTTGTGATGCTTTTGTAATGTCTCAGTCAGAATTGGTTCAGCCATATTACCTAAAAGCAGACACCAATAGCAGAGGAAATTTTTCATAAGTTATACAACTAACTTGCTCCTTCTTATACTTCTTGACTAAGGATAGATTTATTTGGCTCACGATTTCAGAGAACCGTTACGGGTGCAGGCGTGCTCTCAGTTCTAGTCCAATATGATCTGATCCGATAATCTTTGTTTTTATGAATGATCAACTGATTAGAACATGCTAACTATGGTTACATAGCATGCTATCAATTAACATCCACATTAAAACAATTGGGATACGTAGATACTGCGACTATAGGCAGCTACCTAGCTGAATTTACAGAAGCGTAACGCAGAAGTTAAACTCTGCCACCACACTGATTACTCAGCTTCCGATTTCTGCAGCAGAGTAAGAGCAGTCTATTCGACACTTAAAGGCTGGTCGATAAATGACATTACGTGTAAGCAACGGAAATTTTTATGGTGATCGATAGAGCAGTCGTGTCTATGAGCGAGAACGTTAAATGTGGTTCCTTTAGGCGTTGCTCAGTAAGCAGAAGCTTTTCGGTCAGACGGGTCAATAGCCCATATTATTATACCATTGATTCATCGCTTTTCAGCGTATGGCCATTTTATACAGGAGACCTGAAGGTAATCTATTTTATTTTCCCGTTCATTGTTCCCTCTTGTAGTCGCCGAAGTGAGTATTGAACTCTTTGGTTTGAATCTAAGCTATACTTTACCAGCTTGTGTTCGATCTATCCCATCTAGCGCACGTTGGCTTTGGCGAAGAGCAGAACCTTTAGGTGGATAGCATCCAGTTGGCTGCTGAAAAATGACCTCCCTTAGGGTATGTGCTTTCCTTTTGGAGGCTGCTGAAGGGTGAGAAGCTGTAGCAAAAACGATCGTCTACAACAGAACGAATACCATCGTATGAGTGGTCTGGGTAACCTAGGCCAAAACTAACATGCACGCACGCCGACCCTGGGGATGCTTCGACCTAATCAAAGAGCCCGCCGCATATAAATGGGAAAAGCTGCTTCAAGGAGGGGCATATTTCTTTTGTGAAGAAGAGAGCAAGTATGCACTCATCAATGCTAAGAAGAGGCTAAGTAAGTTATGGCTTCTGCTCACGGCACAAGACGGAAAAAGCAAAGAGGTGAGGGAAAATCGAAGAGGAGATCTATAGTCTCGGACTATCGACAGAAAACAATGGCACGGAAAACATCCGTGAACACCGTGTAATGAGAAATTGTGGTTTAGAGGCGTTTCTTGATGTCGAGCGAATTATCACTAAAAAATTTAGTAATCAAAAAGACAACAGGGGACGCTCATGCTTAATGAAGCGTAAGTTTAGCAGAACTTTCCATTCAGATGTGCAAAAAGTGGAAGCAAACACGTAGGAAGTCAGCAAGAATTTGATATTTCTGCTTGAAACTGCTGAACGTGAGAATTTTTTTAGTCAGTTAGCCGATCGTAACATCTTTTAGGTAGCCGGTAAATGGAACACTTTAACGTAACGGAACGTTTCACTATTTGAACAAACAGCTAAAATGAACCCCCGCTAAGATATGCAATTTTATCTTGACTAATTTGAAATTAACTATACTAGACCCGTAGGCCTGAGAAGGCTACTGTTGATAGTTAATGGATGTCATTTGCTTCGTGTATATGGGGTGTAATGTACGGTATCATATTGCTAGATAAGTTGTTGCGGTTTTTTTTTTATTTCATTATATATAGTCTCATATAGTCTTCATTTTCGTTCGTGGTTCTGCTCAAAGCTTTCCTTTAACTTACATCGCTTCGTCTGGGTTACAAAATTTAAAGTAAATGCGGACGGAATTTAAAGTAAATGTTGAGACGAAGCTGGGTCTTGACGTTAAATAGAAAAGAAGTCAAAGACTGTTTGTAGGGGGATTACTTCATTTCTTCATGGTCATGACACTAGTGGCTGTTTCCCAACGCGTTCCTTTCTATTATCATTCGTTAATAGTATTTTTCTAAGTGTCTTAGAATCGTCTATACATTGGAGGGGCTCCTTAACGTTTTGCTAACTATATATTCGATACTGGCATTAGATATTGCTTGACACGGCTGGCCCTGAGCACGAGACAGGAGGGGCTTAAGCCCGCCTTCGAACCCCTAAACAACTCTAACGTGTTCTTACATTTAGAAGACAAACACAACATCGCCAGGCCATTATCATTTCTTGGTAGTTCTCGATCCCCTCTTAGAACCACAAATACGACGTTTGTTTTTTAAACAACGAAACAGGTCTGTCTCGTCGCGGAAACATTTAGACTTTCCGTTCAACCGAAAAACGTTCTTAATCAGAAGGAATCCCATAAAACAATAAATATAAGATAATAACTAAGAATAAGTAGAAGGATACCGGTAAGCAATTATCCATTTAAGAGAAAAATTAAACAATGACTTAAATATGAAGAAAACGAGAGAAATAAGGTATTTTATTCCCATTTCTACGCTTAAAGAATTATTTCTCTCCCATAAAAGAATAGTTTTGGTAGAAGTCTGTGGCTTTTTTCTGGGGTCCAGAATCAACAAGAAACAAATCAACTAACTCCTCTGACAAAAACAGCTTCTACAACTCGTCTTGCCGCTGCTGCTGCTGGACGTAACCCCCAATTGAAACGTCTGACGACAAACGATACAATGAAATGCTCACTATACGAAAGTAAAATTCACTGATAATATCAATGTTAAAATACCTTTTTCTCCGTATGCGCCAGGATTGGTAAATATATTTCTCGTGCGGAACACAGAATCTGGTCTGCTTTGCCACAGGCTGCGTGTTATATTCTATGAACTTCTTTCTACTAGTGTAGGAGTTTGCATTAGTTAGACTATAAACATAAAAGCATTATAACAAGCTGGCATATAGCCCCACCAAGGCGCCTCCGAAGTCGTGCCCCGCGTGATTCGTGCCAAGGCCCAGTTTTTTTTTTGCCTGTGTCGAACAGCAAATCATAATAGTACCAACGTTTATCGTCATCTCCCGTAAATTGTTATACGGAAATATATTAGTTTTCGAAAAATCCACTCATGTGAGGACGGTGGTTTTCTCTAATTGAATATATTCAATATTATTGCTGTTTCAGCCAGGCAAATGAGCACGAGTGATTTGCGTAATTTCCGTTTTACGAAAAAAGCCGGGCAACGTGTATGGATGAAACCACAACTGTGAACTTACATAGTTTAGCTAACATTAGTACGATCTTTTTTTCGTTTTCTTTGACACGGAACTATATTGTTGTAAAATTTTAGGTCGGTTAGGCTCGTTTGTGCTATGTAATTTAGTCACTTTTCATATAGATTATAGGATCGAACCTATATGGCTAAACGCAGCCAAAGTTTTCGCCTTCAAAAGATGCCATATGACCAGCCTGAGCTGTCGAGTTCGGCGGAAGACATGGTACGTATGTACGCAAACGTCACATCTCGTAAATTTTTACCGCGCAGTGCGCCTATAAACAATTTATATATTGTACAATCGAGCACCTGGAATAGGACAACCCTTTTATTGGACTAACTATGCTTCTTAACGAAGTGCTACGCTATTATATTTTTGCTATCGGTGCACACAGTCTTTCTTTCTTTCTCATGAATTGGATTAAATCATGATAGAGGAGGCTGAAGCTACACAGGCCAGAGTCAGCTTAACGATATCGCTGAATAGATTGTAGGAAGGAACAGAAATCTACAAGTGTATATCCGTTAAAGGCTTTTCTATTATGTGAATGTAGAAATGGGCCGACTGAAGTTCGTTCATTTTTCAGAAAATATCTGTTAGAGGCTCCTATATCAGTTCTGCTGTATAGCGTAACGCTGAGTTTTGAATAATGCATCAATTGAGATGATCTACAGCGACAACGACCAATGGCTTCATGCGTACTATTGTCGAAAGATAGTTACATCAAAAACAAAAACTATATAGTTACTGTCGGTAGTAGTGATTATTACCGATGATTGACTATCCGCAATATGGTGCACATGCCGGCAATGTTTCCCTGGCCAAATAAGGCCATGCATCAATTAAGAAGCTGAAACCTGTTGCGGAAGTAGGCATTCGTCAGACATTATTAACAGCATTGAGATATGGTACAGCGAATCAGAAAACCCTATCATTTACCTAACATATATGTACACACGGATTCCTACTACTTTGAAACTAGTTGTTTATTATAGATTTGCTATAAAATTAATTAACATTAGCGATGTCCGATGCGGGAAATGTAATAAATCCATATAGCGTCCCGGCCCATATGATATTGGTGTTGGTTATATTGTATGATTTCGTATAGTGATTTCTATAAAATACGTAATCCAGTGTCAGGTTGTGCCTTTTAAACTGCAATTTTGGCACGGGCTAAAATATAATAGAAAAAAACAGAGCTTCCCTATCGTTCAACAAAAGTTTGAAAAATGATAAGCAATATACTCTTGAAAATAGCCACCTTATACAGTCCCAATTGTTCGTATATATATATATATATATATAAGATACGCTCTTGTATTATGATAATAGTATACCAGTGTTCCATTCTGCCCAAGTGAAATTCGTTATCTAAACCAAAGTCCTCCCGGATGCGTGGTGAAAAAGACTCCGGCGGTAAATTCGAGTAGTTGGCAGCAGTCACCGTACCAAGGTCCAATTAAATTTGAAATACCTCAATTCAAAAGATCACCAAAATCCATAACGTGTTGTGTTGTTATCGCTTCCTGGATGGAAGGCCCGGACTGACTTAGAGGTAGTTCATTTCAAGGAAACAGTGTCGCTTCTGACCTCAGCATTTCGAATTTTTCTGTCCCGTAAGGCGTTCCATCAAACGGCTGGCGGCCAGCGCGAAGCAGAGTTCGGATCTAGACCATAACGGATCTCTAGGATCAGCAGGCAAAGGTGCGTCACCCACAAAGTCATAATGAGAACATGGGCACCTGGCTTCCTATAATTCAAGGTATTGACCTTTTACATACCAACTCCCCACTAACGTTAAGTGGCCGTGTGTGTGTGTGTGTTTTTCTGTCATTTTTTCTGTCACTGTTTTCCTTTGTTTCCGAAAGCTCGTCGTTCGTATTCGTATTACGCTTAGTAGGCTGTTATACGCTGACTATAGTCAAGTGACTCACTACAACAATGTGCAATCTTGTACAAACAGTGTAATTTTACCTAGTAAATCTGCCTTTGTTAGTATATATTTTAGTGAGCCACCCAGTTTTAAATAGGTTCGTTAAATAGATATGTCTCTTGCTACCGGCTGCAGGAACAATCGGCCCGGAGTCAGCTTCGTATCAGAACGCGCTCGAAATCCGAACAGATACAGTTGTGTACGCAACTACTTACATATGCCAACGATTTATCACTTCGAATCGGTTACCTAGCAGATAAATTTATCTTGCAAAATTACTCTATTTGATGATAACTGGCAAATCATCTCAGAGAAATTGCAGTGATTAGTCATGTATATAATAATTCGCGACTGACTCACGATCAGAGCCAGGAGAGTCGTGGGGAACGGGCGGAACAGAGGGCAAGCGTAGTTGTCGTTACTCCACCTACTTGAAAAGAATTCAGGTCTTAATTTAAGCAAAATGCGGTACATTATTCGATGTCAACTCACAGTTATCACGTTTTGCTAGATGATGTCTTAACTAGGACTGCAAAGTTCATGACCCATTATACTAATTACATGAATTGTAACCCAACGGCATTCAATTGAAGTACTTAGTTAACCTTTGGCCTAACTTCACGCATCATCTATATAACTGCTACTTATGGAACTTGTGCAACAACGGAATATCTGCGGTATATTGAAACGAGCATAACGCTTAATAGAGAAAAAAAATGACATGAGCAAAAACAATTTCCTTATTGTGGAATCTATATAGAGAAGTGTTTATTGTACAGCTTATGGCACCCTTATAACCACTGAATAAAGTGATGACGACGACTGCTATTTGATCAGTGACAGGGGGCACCCGTCGACATGATTATTTTATACGACTTATTCGAGAACCCTGAGACTTGAAGTGAAGACTTGCTTCACTCTAGAAAGTCTGCTATAAAACAAATGACATATGGTCCTCTGATACCACTGATAGCCTTAGACAGGCGATATGATTGTTAACCGCTACAAAGAAAACCTCACTTGAACAAAGTCCATACGCATATCTTATATTATATTCTATTTTATATATTATATTCTTGGTAACAATATTATAAGTCACTTAATAAAGCAAATCGTTATTATTAGTCGATCGAGTCCGTTAGTTCTATCTAGTTCAAAAACGCCACCCTAGTCACCGATACATAACAAAGTTTCTAGTTTAAAAAATCTAGTTTAAAATTGATTTATACAAGATTTTCGTGTAGTAACACGAACCATTTACACATTCAGCTTAGGTAAGACTTCTTGCTTGTAAATAACCTCGCCAAAACAGAAAACTCGAGCTCTTCTAATCCTTCATAGCCCTAAACTTAAACGACTTTCAGATATTACCCGCAGTGTTCACTCAATGCCTTTTCCACAACTTCAGACTCAAGGTCATCTGACCCGAAGATCGAGTCTCGCGAAACAGAACGCACGAGTATTACCGCCATCATAAATGCGCTAATATATCACAATGATAAACAACGTGGATGTTTAAGAATCTTCAAAATCTAGGATATAAGAGGACGTGCACGTTCTGAACGTGGCTACAACTACAATCCGTATTGGTGTCGTTTTCTCCCAACCGACTGTAACTGAGGCTAACGACGTGTTTCAAATTGCGGCTTTTTTTTTTGAAAAAAATGGTAGCCGTACTTCTTTCATTCGTCGCCTTAGCTTTATTAGTAACTAGAGATGCACGCCGCTGTATATGCTCTAAATGTACATAATAATAATAATAAGTTAAGCATTTCGAATGCACTGGCTCCCGCAGGCTTTGTCGGCGGCCCCTCGTTCCTTATCCCTTCGGCCGCTGCCCTTGCCGCTGGCCGCAAAGTTACGCCGCCGGCCAAAGTCTGGCTTCGAACATCAGCGACAATAACACTAGTATAAAAGCAACTGCGAACGACACCGCAGTTGAAGACACACTATCCTCGTTGTCGTTATAGCCATGTTTGTAGTACACTAACCCACTTAAAAGCTTCGATTTTTCCTGGTCGAGCTCGGTATGTATGAAGTGTTTCGTATCCGTGACAGACTAAATGTTTCAGAAGTTCTCCGCTGGGTCGGATGTAGGCGCACGCTCTAGCGCTACCATTCAGCTAACGCTTCACACATACTGTAGCACATTGTAAGCTAGGAACAGATGGTTTCTACAACAAAAACATCCACTTCATTGCGTTCCGAGCTTCTGGCCAGTAGTGTAAGGTGTTTGTCTGGCTGTATTTATCTGCACAAAAATTGTAAAACATCTGCTTTTTCTGTTTAAGGGTCCGTTTTGATTATCTAAAATTCAGCTTATGCTATTGCTGATGTTGTGTTGAGAATTTAGTTGGGCAAAAAATTACACGAGCTTTCTTTGTTAAAGAATGATTACAAACAGAAAGAGTGTCATCACATAATTTACCCCTATTAGTACATTTCCTATGTTCATTTCGATGTTGCGTTTTAATAGGCACTTTTGATGCTGCCACTGCCAGCTAACTCAGTTTCCGTTATCACCTGACTCGATTTCGGAACGCTTCCTCTGTGTCTCTCTACATGATGAACAAATGTAAGGATCCCTGGTGACTTGTAAATCTGGTAACTTGTTTCAGTTAAACTAGTCTCTAGAGGGGCCCAGAGTCGCTTCCCGTCTAGTCGAAATGTGTCAGGTCTCACCTGTTCGGACATAGTCGACATCATGCCAAATAGTTGAAAATATCGGAAGACTAAAATCGTAAGAAAGTGGGGCTATTTGCAGGTAGGCAGGCAGGCAGGCAGGCAGGCAGACTGAAGTCGTTAACTGCACCTCAACTTACCTTTTGTTTGCCTTACTGATGCGGAATGCGGTCACCAAAAAGCATATCACGATTCTCCCAAAAACTGCGCTCCCAAGAAACACATAATTGCGGATACTCTACATTTGTATTGCAGGTAATAGTGCTATACAAAAATTGCATATAACAAATTTGAAAAGTAGAGGGCCAAATGTGAGCAACTCCATATTAGCAATCAATATCATGTTAACTAACTAACGTTATAAGTTAAGAACAACTTGATCTTCTGTGAATCTATCAAAATGATTCTAACTATGCTATGTTCGATATTAAGAATCTAATCAAGTCAACTAGAGTATCTATATTGTGTGAGAAATATCTGCACAAACGTAGAGTTTTTCATTTTTTCGTCGTTATTATAGGAAGTCTCAAGTGATAGCTACAGAACTGGCAAGTTAAGCAAGTTGAATAGTTTCAGATGTACGAGCATCGCCTATTAGCCTGTAAACCACAACTAACGAATTCACGCCGATCTTTCTCACTCGGCCCATATCCCGCGTAGAAAAGACAGCTACTGCGGCCGCTGCTTTTTCTATCAATCATACGGTTGTGTCCTAATATAATAACACAGTAAACTGCGGTATTAGTCATGCTCGCGCTGGAAGCAGTAAAAACAGCCGTCAGGCTGTAGGAAAGGCTTCAGTGACGGCCATGAACGTCAATAGCAGTCGAAATTCCCGCCGCAGGGGTGCTGATATCAAGCTTAGCAGCGATGGCGAACGTCGACACAAGTTCACTGCTTTCTAGCAGAGCAGAAAACCCCCATCTTCTCCTTGTAGCTTTTCCATCGTATTTCATTGCACTTGAAATCCTCGTCGTTCACGTTAATAGCGCGCTAAGGCAGCAGCACTGCCCTAGCCTTATAATTACACTGCACTGCATTCTACCGAAGAGGAAACAATGAGTGTGGATTGACAGGAGGGAAACGAAGATATCACAGTTTGAGCAGATACACGTTCCGTTCGGTCCCTCCTAAACGTTTACTCGCCGTTGGTATCGTCACCGCACAAAATCGACGCGTTCCTAAGAGAATACAAAGGCATCGTTTAAAAACGTGGGGCATTCGTCCGAGGGTCGGAAAGAAGCCAGGGCAATGGAAGGGCTCTTTTTATTGCAATGAAGACAAGATTGGAAGAACAGAAACAGGGCAGAGTTCGGAAGGTTAGACGCAAGAAGGACGACCGTTTATCGTCGTCTACTGTGACATAGTAGCAGGACGTTGCGCCATGACAATGACATCAGAACTCGCAATCTTCAAATGGTATTGTTGTATTCTTCCTTTGAATATTGGAACAAAAAAGTCAGAATGAAAGATACGATGTCTCGCCATATTAAAGGACAGCTGAGTCTCTTCCTGATAATGGCTTTTGCTAAATCAATAGTGTAATCGTTACCTTGTAGTTACATCCTGCTAAATAATAAAAATGAAATTAAATGAAAAAAGAAATACTGTACAGGTTGTTTGCATAAAAGCAGTTGGTGCATTTTTAATTCCATTCTATGTATTGCCATAGTGGAACGCATCTATGAACTAGCCGCTTCCTGGCATTAGGACCCAATATAAATTATCAAAAGAAGCAAAAAAATTATAGCGAAACATTTCTAGCAACTCAAATTTGTTTCAACGACTGAATTCCACAAGGGGGTAGGACCTCATTGACAGGGCCCTCTAATGTGAACATGTCGGGGCCTTGGTTAAGATACGAATTTTATCCATCCAGTTAGGACGAAACGAACCGACCTAACTGTTAACATATATTATACCATTAGGTAGCAATCGGTGTAAATATGTAGATTATAAAAAGCGATCTTGTCATTGCAGTGGCGACCGATCGATTTTCCTGCTCCTATTCAACTATTATTTTATCTCTATTCGCTAAAGATTGGCTCGAGCTACGAGAACAGTGTGACAAGCTATCTAGTTTAACATGCCTATATGGCACGTCTCTGCACAATGAATTCTGTCGGATAACGTAAATTATCAGATCTAAACGAAGTGAATATCCTATCTCTCTTAAAGATACATTCTACCGAAACTGAAATGGTGACAGGAGCAACGAAGACATCATCTCGTTGATGATGGGCATGGCAGCAGAAAGAGAACCCTTTAGGGTACATATTTTGGGGTACTTGATCGGAAGGGTAAACATCCAGCATCCACTGAATGCACGGAACAGGTAGACGCCATGCAGAGCAATATGAACTAGGATTATCAACAAAAGATTACACTGCGCATCTGTTGAACATTATATGTTATCTGTACGTCGTGATGAAAATTAGAAATCAGATGCTCAACTTGCAGCGTATAGGCAATACTAATGGCTGCATGTCGATTTTTTATAACAGAGATCATTTAGCCAGTCACCCGATAACAAGATTAGCTCATGTATATGTGACATTGATGCCCAAAAGGCCCCAGCCCTCCGTAGTAGGTGGCCAAGTGTATACTATGGTTTCAGATGACTCCAATTTCTACTGACAAATAATCAGACAGCTTATAGTGTCTGCGTGCAAATAGGTCTAAACGTTTACCTTCTACCTAAATATATAATCGATTTTCCTTTCGAAATTAGCGTCTCATATACGATCCCTCACAAACCCAATGATTTGAAAAAGGTACGCGAAGTAGCCCCTGATTTATTACTGGTAGGAAAGGGTATTATCACATAATGTTTGTACTACGAGTGCGTAATTTAACAGGTCTAGCCGTTAGCTACCTCGCACAGGCTTTCTGTAAACTTTTTTCTCGGTTCTGACCGGAAAAAGATACATGCTTTCGGTTTTCACCCGCTATCGCTTCGAAAGAAGTTCAACGGGAGCATGGAGGAAGGGCTCAAATAAGTGAACAAATTGAATAGTGTTTGATGCCGCTGTACGTAAAAGTTAGTGAAGAGACGTGGGGATTTGCGTGTTTGCAGCAATACATTACACATTGAAAGCAGAAGAGAAACGGGCATGTTTCGTAAGAATAAACTAAAGGGTGCCGACATCTGTAAACTTGTTTGAAGTAGCCCTATATGCCGTAACTCAAATTCCGAAGTTCTGTGATTCGTACCATCCAACCAATCTAGCACATTTCTGCCTGCGACATTGCCGCTACGGATCGCTTTACGCGGCACGAACCGCATAGTGTGCTTACGCTTGAAGCCTCGTCTAATACCTCGTTTCTAATAACGCTATCTCTAGACCCTTCCTATCATCCACCCTAATTCAATATCCGCGTATTGTGCCAAGAAAGTATCCTCAAACATTTGCAACTTCAGTAAGCAATATAGAACACGTAACCTAGCACTTGTTCGAATCACCATTACGTAATTATAATTTTTTCAACTGAAACTTATCGGGGATTGCAATAGCAACTGTCGTAGTGCCGAGTAGTGAGAAGGCCGTCGCGGCCGGACCACATAAGCTAATCTTTTTGTAATAATATTTTTTATTGAAGGCCATTAATTCTATTTTAAAATTTCTGCAGTTATAAACCCAGGGAACGTTTCTTCTTTTTTATTTTCAAAAAGTACATTGTTGGTCGTATAGCTTTGGTCGATGCATACTGGGGATCTGTTTACATCTTTGGGTATACGTTTATATATTTATGTGGCAGAAAGGTGCCGCTTTCAATTCTGCCTAATTATACTTTATAGATACGAAGTCGCGGGAGTATTATTCAAAGCTCTTTAGCAGAAATGACCTCCATATTAAATGCTTTGTCGAGATTTTATGCAGTATTTTTCTCTTTGTTTACTTCTCTAACAGAGTTGGCGGGGCGGCATAAATCGGTCGTTCTTCGGGCAAACTTCTGTTACCTGCAACAAGGCACAATTAAGTAGAAAATAACGACAGTGATTCTTCCAAAGTCTCATGAGTGTTCCAATATAGAAGTTTGAAAGTGTGTAAATTTCGTCGCGGCGTGACTTATGGTCATTGAACTGTTTGAAGTTATGTGCTAGAGAAATAACAAGTGGAAGAGAGCGCCTAACTTAACTCGAAATGACAGCTCTTTCTGCGCTGGCGAGGGAAGTCGGGGAGCACCAATTGGATGAAGTTGACGTGAGTATATGCTAAAAATTCGAAGTTTATCGACAAGTTAGGAACTCGAGGGGCCGCGGTGAGCTGACGCTTGAGTAGACAGCTTATGTCAGGCTGCGGATGTAGGTGACGTGCGTCTACTTGGATCTTTCATTGGCTTAATAAAAAGTGCATTGATTTCGTCAGGGAAAAGCATGGGTGGTTGCTAGTTTGAGTTAACTGTTTAATGTAACTTAAACTTTAGACGCGGTCCTCTAGACTTAAACTTTAGACGCGGACGGAATTAAGTCGTCGTGGACAATTAGATCACACGTATAATTACTATCGGTAAGGTACGGGAACTTTTCAAGCAGATGATGAATTCCGTCGCGAAAAGCATACGAACCAATTTGGAAGCCAAACCCAAAGTAAGCCAGTGTTGGAAATGATTATCGATCATTTTTGAGCCATATTTGTCACGGATGACCCATTACCCGAAACGCTCGTTCACAAACATACACATATGTATATGTAAATACTTAAAGAGTCAAAAAAGATCTGTGAACTCGTTTGATTAGGTTGGCTAGTTAGATTTGAGTAAGTTACCTTAGCTATAAAACGGTAAGCGAGGTCAAGATTGTTACTACTAAGATATATGAATATATACATTTCATATAAGCTATTACTCATTGTTTGCTTGAGCATAAATTATTGAAGTTGTTATTCAAGATAGGTTCAGATCAATAGTAAATCAATCGTTATCTCGAATAATAATAATAATGTATTTTCGAAGTAAAGCTTCTTGCTCCCAGCGTGTTCACACGAAAATATATATCGTTCGTTATATATGTGATTAATAGTATTCGAAAATGAAATCGTCCTGTTCGTTACGACGGGCTACGAAATTTCGATTTTGCTTTGTTCTCGATAGAAACGCATCCTCGAGCTACGAAAACTACCCGCGAAAGCTGTTCAGCTGGGTGTAGCAGCCACCCGGAGCTCGCTGCTTCCGGCTACGACGTTGTCAATGGCCGATGAAAATGAACGGGTAGTACGTGAGTATACAAAACTGCTATCACAAATGATTGATGAGGTCGGCGGACAAGAACATATCGACTGTCTTTTCGATCAGCTACAGCAGATCATCAATATGGCGTTCATGAACATTTCTTCGGAAGATCGAGAGCAGGTTCGTTTGTCTGACGTAATATTTTGTCTATAGATGTTTTACAGAATAGAAGAAAAATGATTCTATCCTTTGTTGGCTGTCATTGGTAAAGCTCGACAAACGACGTCACATAACCATTGGCCATTAGAGATATCGCTAGAGTCGTAACTAGCTAAGGAAAGGACACAGAGGGATGAAACGAACCGAACGGAATCACGAAATGTTTTGTTTCCGTTTAATAGGTTCCGCGAAGGAAAGCGAGGTCGAAAATTTACCTAATAATTGTTGTATGTACTGAAATATTTGTTCGATTATGTTTTCTTACTAAGGATCAATGTAATATGTCTCGTTGTTGTATTACGTTTTGCGAATCCTCTATAAATGTTGTGAGACTCGGATTTCGATCCCCTTTTTGTAGGTTGCGCAAGCGATCATAGCGTTAACAGAGTCGATGCGTCTCGAAGACGTTGATCGCTTATTAATTCCGTTGATTGAGGAACTATCACAGGACTATTTTCTTAAAAAGTGCCTTTGTGCTCCCCTGCTGCCAACGGCGTTCACTAAAAGCCCTGCCCACCGTCAACGGGTTCATCGCATCTTCATTGAGCTGTGCTCAGATACAGCTGATGTTGTTGTACAGGCGGCTTCAACCGTTCTGCCTCAGATGATTGAGTAGGTATCGAACCATTCGAGAAACCCTGTCATTTAAGATATTATAGGATTACGTTTGTCGACTCCCAGACTAAGATCGATAAGACAGATGTAAGGCCTAAACGATCATCGTTCCTATCTATTTTTAATTTAAGTAGCTGTCAGCTGTTAAGCAGCTTCCCCTTAATAAACCTATTGCCTATCAAGCAGCGGGCTTAATTTGAATTGAATACTCGGTTGGTAGTTCGGCTGAATAAACATGATACCTAGCACATAACTCATTCCTAGCCATTCATTGGCTTAGCTTCAGGCGGCAATTTGCTAGGAGATATATTGAAATAGATAGCGTGCCAAGTAATTTGCTTACGTGGGTGTCGTTATAACGGATGAGGTGTCTTCTTGGGCCACAGACACCCCATTGTGGGTGATATTTAAATAGATTATTTTTTCGAAAGCAATGACAGCGTCTAAAGTTTCGCCTTTCATGCTTCTTACATAGATTCATTGATATCAATGTTTTTTTCCGAAACTTTAGAATAGTCGAGACAGTCGAGCAGGACTTGCAGGACGCTGTCAAAAGGCTTGTCATTGACGCTTCGATACCGAGCACCCGAATGAATGCTGTAATTGCGGTTGTTGAACTGTTAGGCAAAGTATCACTGGACCGTAAGGAGCAGCTTATTCAAAATGTTCTTCGGAGCGTTGTCCACGATAAAGCAGACGAGGTAATTATACATTGCACTTACTTCGTTCGTTCAATTCATTACCAGAGATACGAACAGAATATAGAGTAGGGTGCGGTGCAGGTTTATGCCACCAAGCTTCCACCGTTTATCATAGCGATCTTGGACTTACACACGACAGTATGTCCTATAGCCGGTACAATATTCACCCTATCCCCTATATTCGTGTCCTTAGGTGAGGGTGTTGCTAGCAGCTAAAATGACTCGAATTCAAGTGAACGTCGGCTATCCGTTGATGAAAAGCTTAGTGAAGTTCGTCGCCGGACACCTCGAGAAGGGCGGGACCATGGTTAAGTAAGGCAGATTTTGAGATTAACAGGAAACCTTTGATGATTTTACGGCAAGCTGACATAATCACAATACAAATAAAAAAAAAAAGAAAAAAAAAGTCGAAAAAAATATACGATGATTAAGGAAGTCGCTTGACGTTTATAAGTAGCTTTAGAGGGATCTTTCTGCCAAACTCGATATCATATACATAAATGTGTTCGGTAGTTACATGGAATTTTGTATAGTAAACTTTTGTCTGTGATAACCGTTTTGTACGCTACACCATAGTAGGGTACGATGCTAGTTATGCATAGCTACAGCAAAAAAAAATAAAAAAACTTTGGAAACATAATAAAAATTACAGTTACAATACAGTTATTACGTTCAAAATAAGCACATCGTCTAACGCATGAATCTGTTGGGGCTGTGTTGTATTCACTTAACTGTTCGAGTCCAATAAGCCAGAGTTAACTTCTAGTAACTACTAAACACGATAAACTTACCGTCGTAAAGGCAGCTAGGCGAAGCCTACGAGCCTTGTGCATTTTGGTCGGTATCTATTTGTCGAAATAGAATGATTTCAAAGCTCGCTTTCTTTGTGTCGTGCTTTTATGTTTTTACCGTTGAATAGAGTGAAGGCTATAGAAAACTTTCCGGACTTCCTTCGGGGATTTCCTAGCAGCGAAATCCCAGGTCTTGTTGTTCGTTTCTCTAATATCAAAGAATTAGCCCAGTGTGGTGACCGACCCGAAAAAACAGAAAGCGTACGAGTGGCGTTGGCAACCGCGCTAACCCATTTGGCTAACATAATTCGTACGTAAGTTTTCGTATTTTCATGAAGGCTTAGATCATCATTATCATCATTGTTATTTTAAGTTAACTGGCCAAATTTTAATAATAATAATTATTAACTGAGATCTCGATCGGATAGGGAAATTATTGCACGATATCATACGAGCTCTAAAATGGCAAATAACGAGTGTAACACTAACAGGGTGCGGTTCTGGCAGGATCAAATGCTGCGCAGCGTCCACTATAGATGAACCCTATTATCAGCTATTAGTTTTGTCTACTTAGACAAAATTCACTTTAGTCAATGACGGCTTAAGGATCCTAAGTGGGTTTGTACCTCAACGAACGTTGCCTGATTTGCGATGTGGAAACAAAACAAGCACTAATTCCTTAAATTTAGGTTCTGGACCGTATTCTAATTGGCTCGTTTTGATACAGCTGCCGAACTATATCAGTCAGAGTACGTGCCTGTGATTGAAGAGCTGATGTCGGATGATAGTGCGAAAGTCCGAGAGGCTTTAGTATCAAACATCAGGCCGGTAGTTGCGCTTATTGGCCAGGAGAGATTCGTATCAACGTTCCAGGTAAATAACGGATATTACAATTTACTAATTATGAAAACGTTTCTTATTCCTATGTAGCCCTTAACGAGGAACTGGGTATTTTTCTTTCGATTAAACAAGGAAAAAGCTTGTATTAACAAACACTGTGGAAACAAGCTAGAGAAATCGTATCGTTGAGCTTTGTTTTGCTGACACTGCTATTTAAACGCACTATTTAAACGTCGAAAAAGAAATTTATAAACCAAGCAAAACAGGCGAAATATATATTTTTCTTCTATTACCATAGATAGAGTAAAAAGATGCAATTCACTTTGGACCTATTTAATGCCGACCATTGCAGGACGTCGTTGTTGAAATGGCAAGTCACTCGAATTGGCGAGTACGTCAGTCTGTGCTAAACGCCATATCTGTCATGAGTTTCCCATCGGAGGTGGTCGGGAATCTCGTTTCGGCAATGCTAAAGGATGAGGTAAGACTAAAAACCATAGTAGTATTACAATTTGTTTATGGACGATTGTGTCTAAAGGCGTTTGCCATTCGGACGCGAGACAACGAGGTAATAACCTTAATTTATTAATATATTATACTACAGCAAAATGTTCGAATTTTGTCTATCTATTTTATCGTCTTTCTTGGAGTTCATTTCATGAACGCTTTCGAGCGCGAAAAATGGGGGGCGTGCTAGGGACTGTCTGGAATTGTACAACGGTGAAATAGTCGCTTACTGTTCCAGTCTTCCGGGGTCCCTAAAGCATGAAATATCTTCGAACGTGATCGAATAGGTCAATGAGGACCTATTCGAATAAGATCGCGAGGTGCGAACGAACTTCAATGAAATAAATTCGAAATGAAAAGTCTTTTTTTTTGTATAATTTTAATTTTGTATATAGTTAGTTTGCTCTTTTATTATTTTCATATACTTTATTATTACGGTAAATTCACAGGCGACGTTCTATATGGCATTCCCAAACAAATTCAGAGTTGATCTGTTCATCTGGCCTTTACCGATCATTACACATTGTGCGTGCGTCTTTGTATCGATACCTTTTTAGTGTTTTGAGCTGCGTTCGGCAGCTGCCTCGCAAATAAGAGACATTATCTGTAAATACCCACAAAGCTATATGGTCGACAGGCTTCTTCGGCTTTTAGTCGACATGGCAAATGCTAAAGACAAATTCACTCTAAGGGTAACATCACTCAAAGCGCTGGACTGTTCAATGGCCGTTTTACCGCAACGTTTTATAGATGAGTAAGTAGACGATAATGTAAATAATAATATGAGTTGCAGAACTTTTTGTTTCGTTGACAGCAGTGATTTTTCTGTGTCACGCGGTAATATCTCGACTGTTTTAGAAATACACGTACATTTCATTGTCAAGGGTTGACCTTTGTGCACCCCTCTATTTCATAATGAGTAAAATGTACGTTTCGAATAACTTAAACCGTTTTGTTGATTTTTGATTTCTTATATTTCAACTGTATTGCTGAGTTTAGATATCTATAGCGTAACGTATCAATTAGGTTTTGATCAGTGTCGTTACCACCCAGCTCATATACGTTGTGTCCTACCCATATCGGGGAATCTTGAAGGACCGTTTATGGACTTCTCAAGCGTCTTGGACGGGACAAAGTTGCCAATGTTCGCTTAAACGCTGCGAAATGTATGGCAACTATTCTTCTTCTGCCGCGTCCGGCAGAAGATCAAGCGGTGCTAATGATAGCAGGACAGAATGAGGAAACAAGACGAGCGGCACTATTAGAGCACTTAAAGAGGCTCGCAAAAGATAAAGATTTCGACGTGAAACGGACAGCGAGCAAGAAACTTGGATGTCAGTGAAGTATTCAATTGTTCTCGCTTTCTTAACATTGGAATATTAGATCGATCTATTTAAAACAGTATAGGGTTAAAAATAACGCGACGGCTTCTCCTAGCCAATCAATCTATGGTTCTGTCAAGATAATCTTAGCAATCGAAAATTCCCTGTCTAGTTCCACTATTGTTAAAAAACGCAACTCATCGAAAAGCAAAAGAATGATTTCGGACGAATTGCTGATAATTTCTTGCATGCATGAACTAATAAACTTAATCATCATCTAACACCTGAAGTAGTAGCACTTCTGTCTGTTACAACGTATATTCTGCTCTACCCGAATGATCATTTTCTTGGCTTTGGTGTCGTCTTCATAGAGGTTCTAATTTACCGTCAAGTCTCCAATTCATTGATTACATTGTAGCCCACGCTATCAGTGTTGGAACGTTTTCGGATTCCACAGTATTACGGTACAAACGTATGTATCTCCTCCTTGTTATTTAATTCTGAAATAGGGGTCAGTGTCATGGTTCATCTGAAAACATTGCATATCGCTACTACACGACGGATAACCTTCAAGCGGACAAACTCAAAAACCTCAGTATGTCGTTTTGGTGCCTCAAAAAGAACTCAAAAAAACATTCATGTATCTAGGTAAAATCAGGAATCTTGACTCGATAAGAGGACATAAAAATAAAATGGCAATGGGTTATATTAACGCTGTTGGTTCAACTTCCGTATTCGATTGGGCAAGAAGTATAGGTTCTTTAGTAATCTTAGTGTTATTAGGTATCATCTTATTAGTAGTTTGGACGGCTACTCTTTGCGTATGAAAGCCTAAACATCTAGATCTAAAAACTAACATATTCCTTTCGCCACAAGGACACTTCTAACTGAACTAGATGTTGTCCTTTCGATGGTCCGGTAGCAATGTAACTGCCTACACAAATCTCGAGTATACGAATGAGGGCTTTCGCATTCCGTAGAGGTATAGTCATGTCACGGTAGTACGACTGTCGAAACGACATAATCAGTAATAACTGTATTGTGTTTGTTTCAGTTATGCAAGGGCACACAATGATGGCAAACTCTCTTGCTATGTCCGAGATGATGGTCTTCAGCGAATCCTTTGAAGTGACCAGGTACGGTTAACGCTAATGAACCACCACGTTGTTCGAAATATGCGTCGTATTTTTTGCATGAAAGCTATCGAATCGACCCCTTTATAAAATTATATATTATAT